TTGAACCCATCTTTCTTAGTTTTCCCCCAACCCCAATGTCAGTCCTGTTTTACAACAGCAGCACCATGCAGTATTTGTCCTTTTGTGACTGAGATACTTCACTCAGCATAATGTCCTCCAGGGTCACTCATTTTGAATAATATTTCATGAGTTCCTTGTTTTTCAATGCAGCATAGTATTTCATCGTGTGAATATACCACAGCTTCTCTATCCATCTGTTTTTTGATGGACACTTGGGTTGTTTCCAGCTCCTTGCTATTGTGAACAAAGCCGCAATAAACATGGGTGTGCATAAACTGCTTGGATGTCAGTTCTGGTCTCTTTAGGGTATATTCCCAGTAGTGGAATTGTTGGGTCAAATGGTATTTTTATTTGCAACTTTTTGAGAAAGCGCCATACCACCTTCCACAGTGGTTGCACCATTTTACACTCCCACCAACAGTGAATAAGTATTTCACTTTCTCCACAACCTTGCCAGCATTTGTTGCTTGCTGTTCTGTTAAATTTTGCTATTCTGACTGGTGTGAGATGATATTTCATAGAGATAGCAGAATCTTAGGAAGCAGAGCTATCTTGAGATTCTGTGCTTATCAAAAGGGGCCTGATCTACATCTTATGTTATGTGCAGATGGCTTAGGGGACCAGAGTGGCCCCCTCATATTTTCAGAATTGGGGCAAGAGTGAAAACGAAGGCCCAAGTACGGTATGATTTAATATTTTAAAGTTACTGATAAGCCTAGTAAACAGACTGTTGAATAAAATGTTTTATCCTTCCTCTCCTTGGCAAATGCACAGACTCCCTCAATGACCATTCCAGGGCATGGCTATGTGGGGTCAACCAGCCCTGAACTTCCTGCTCCCAGCATCTGATCCTGCTTTCTTTTCTTTCCACCCCTGTCTCCTGCTCACACCACAAGGATAGTGATATGTGATAAACACCCCAACTTGCATGTACAAGTTCCTTCTACACTTCAGCCATTGAAGTCACTTAATCCTGTATAGGATTAAGGGTCACTCTCAAAAGAAGACCCAGGAGAGAAGTGAGCACACAGTGGGCTGGCTCAGAGGGATGGGCATGAACGGAATGAATGAAAAATAAGGAACCCAGAGTGGAGACTTTTCTGGCCTTGCTGGAATGACAGTACAGGTCAAGACAGACTATCTTTAATGTTGCTAGGTGCTGTCGAGTCAGTTCAGACTCAGCGACCTTATGGCTAACAGGATGAAATGATGCCTAGTTCTGTGCATCTTCATGGCTGAGACCGAGGTGGTACAATTGAGGCCCCCTCACGCTCACAGATCTTTCACTCTCCCACTCAACTAACTGCTCTTCCCTCTCAGGCCCGAGTTTAGCTAACCATCTGCTTTGCCTGTAATCTCCCACTACCACTTCTGATGTCTCACAGTTCACTGAAATGCCATTCATTCGGGCTTTTCAATCTTTGACTCAACAGATACTAAGTGAATTTCTTTCTTTTTTTTTTTTTTTTTGCAGTTGCCAAAGATTTATTTCTACTTCAAATAACAGTCAATATCCATGAAAACAACAGCTTATGAATCTAATAACATTGAGCAAATCTACTTTATAAACAAAAACAAAAACTCCAGTACAAACGAACAGAAAACTCAAAACTCGTTTAAAGTTTTCCAAAGCAAAGCTGTCATTTTGATGACTAAAGTACCCCAGACCCAGCGACAATCTCACTTTTTTAATATTTTATTCTTTTTTTTTTTCTATAATTATATTTTATTAATTTTCATAAACATTTACAGAGATTTTGGGCTTCCACTCATTCATTGTTGCACTATTCTCTCTACCCTCCTCCCAGTTTTAAGTGAATTTCTTTCATGTTTAGGATATCACAAAGAAAACAGATATGAATAGGAAACCATCATTTTTCTTTTCTCCTCCTCTCTCGTCCTCTCTCCTCTCTCTCCTCCCTCTCCTCTCCTCTCCTCTCCTCTCATCTTAAGCCTCAAGAAGCTTACCACTTAATAGACAAGGTGACTACATGCTGGCCCCCCCTCCAAGACAGAACGTGATCAATTCCTGGGGTTCAGAAAACGGTGCTCAGGAAGGCCTATAAGAAGAGGAAGTTTGAGGTGATCATTCACCTCACACCATCAGATGTCCAGGTGAGATTCTGACTCAAAGCAATCTCAAGTGTGTCAGAGAGTGTTTTGTGTTCCAGTTTTCAGTGGCTGATTTTTCAAAAGTCTCAAGACCTGTCCATGAACTTGAGCCTAGAACCATTCTATTGGGAACCCAGTATGTTGATGGTTTACATCACCCGAGGACTCTTGGTCATCTGACCCACATCGTGGTCTTGTTAATCAGCCCATATGTATTTAAAAGTTTCGTGATTGAGAAAGGAAGAAAGAAAAGATGCATTTGTACTGAGATATTGGCAATGAATATTGAGTATATTATGGACTGTGCTGAAAGACTGAGTAGATCTTCTTAGAAGAAATGTGTAGAATAGAAGAAAACCAGGAAGAACAGTCCTTAAAAAAGGAGGATGATGGGACTTCCACTCACGCACTAACATTCGACATGACAGCAAAACCAATATAAAGAAAAGAACATCATGTTTGGAGAAGTAGAGAATGAGTAGAAATTAGTTGGACTGATACAGCAATGGACTCAAACATACCAACTGCCACTAAGATAGCACAGAAGCCAAAACATTTCAGTCTGTTGTCTATAAAGTTACTGTGGGTCAGAGTAAAGTCACTTATGACCAGGGATGTTGCCCAGGAATGCCCAGTGGGAATGCCCAGGGGCCAGTTCCATGTCCCAAGATACAGATGGCACTCAGGAAATGGAGCAGGGCTACAGGATGACTTAGGGCATCTTCATGTAGAGTTGAAAGTTGAAAATTCAAAAGTGAAAGAGATCCAAAGAAAACATGAAAATAATAAGAATGAACTTTGGGAGGCCCCTGTGACAAGATCCTACACAGGCACATCATGATAGAGGGAGAAGAGATGGACGTTATCAATGATTTCAATGATTTCACTTTCCTTGGATCCACAATCAACACTCAGGGTACGAGAAGTCGAGAAATCAAAAGATGTGTTACACTGGGAAAAATCTGTTGTCAAGGACCTCTTCAATGTGTTAAAGAGCGGTGATCAAAATCTATAAACACTGAAATGTTCCTGATTCAAGCTATGGTCTTTTTAATTACTTCTTAAACTTCTGACAGTCGAACAATGATGAAGAATGGCCGAAGAAGAATGACTGCCTTTGATCTGTGGTGTTGGAGAAGAGTACTGAAGAGCCCATGGACTGCCAAAAGAACTAACAAATTTTTCTCACAGGAGGTACAATCAATGTGCTTCTTAGAGGCAAAGATGGTGAAACTTTGTCTTATATAATTTGGCCATACTGTCAGAAAGGGCCACCGTGCTGGGAAAGGTGGAGGGTCAGAGAAAGAGAGGAAGATTCCCAATAAGATGGGGTGACAATGACTATAACAATGAAGTCAAGCTTATCTGAGATGACAAGGATGGTGAAGGCTAGAGCAAGGTTGAGATCTGTTGTTCATTGGGTTGCTATGAGATGTAGTCAAATCAGTGGTGCCTAAAAGCAGCCTTTATGGATTCACTCTGGACCTTAGGAAAGGAGATGCATCTGGAATGAAGCATAAAGCGCTGGCAGGGAGTAGAGAGAGCCTCCATCCTTGTCTCGCTCTATGTCAAATGAATCTAAGAAGGCTGAGGAATGACGCTTCCCCATAGCACTTACCTGGCAGGAAGTGAAGCCACCATAACCAAAGGTTCATGGTTCCTTGTTGAGCGAGATCCCATCCGAGAGCCTGTGGAGATGGGGGCAGAGACCCACTGCTCACACTGGAGCCTTTCACCATGTGAAAGTTTTCTGGCCCCCACGAAGAGCGAGGCCTGAAAATGAGGAAATGGCACCTGCGCTGTTTGCTAACTAGTCTGATGCTAAAAAGATTCCAGCAAAGCACAGCAGAAGTCAGCAATTGAGAAAACATCATGTGTTGAGCGAGGATGGGTCACCAAGGTTCAGTGGGTCCCCAGGCAGCTTTTTAAGACTCTGAGCTACTACCCGATAGGATGTTTATTCACCCTCAGCGGTTTATCTCTGTGCTTGGAGGGATCATCCAGGATTTATCTTTATCTATGTGATCCAGAGTCATTTACTAAATCCTTGTCCTCATGGTAAAAGACCACTACCAGTAGTTGTTCCCTGCTGGAATGGTACAGATGAAGTTTAGGCCTAAAATCAGTAGATGCTGGGATTAAATGAAACCAAACTCATTACCATTGAGTTGATGTCCATTCACTCCAACTCCACGTGTTACTAAGTAGAACTGCTCCACAGTGTTTTCTTTTCTTTCTATTTTTAAATTATGATTTCTTGATTAAGATCTTTGTTGAAGCAGTTCTAGGCTTTGCTTTAATGAACCTCTGGGTAGGTTTGAACCACTAACCTTTAGGTTAGCAGTTGAACACAAACTGTACCATTCAAGTATCTACTCTAATTCTTACTATATACCAAGTAACTTATCTGAAAAGTATTTTGAGCACCTACTGTGTGGGCATATAGATCACATAGATTGAAAGGTCATTCAGGAGGCTGGGCTTTATGAGAAGGAATGTGGCATCAGGCAGGATTGGAGGAAGACTCAACAACTTACATTATGCAGATGACACAACCTTGCTTGCTGAAACTGAGGAGGACCTGAAGTGCTTCCTGCGGAAGTTCAAGGACTGTCGTTTTCAATATGGATTGAAGTTCAACATCAAGAAGAAAAGTTTCTCACCACTGGGCCAACTGGCAGCACCATGATCGATGGAGAAGAGATTGAAGTTGTTAACAGTTACAGCTTGTTCAGCTCCACAATCAACACTCTTGGCACTAGCAGTCACAAAGTCAAGAGACAATTTGCATTAGGTAAATCTGTTGTCAGGAGCCTTTCCAGAGTCCTGAGGAGCAGCAATGTCAGTCTAGAGACTAAGGCGTGCCTGATCCAGACCATGGTCTTCTCAAGGACTTGGTTTGCATCAGAAAGCTGGACAATGACTAAGGATGACAGAAGAAGAATTGATACCTTTGTGTGGTGGTGCTGGAGAGGAGAAGAGTCTTGAACCTACCATGGTCTGCCAAGAAAATAAATAGGTCTGTCTTGGAGAGAGTGAAGCTAAGTCTCTCCTTGGAGGCTAGGATTTTGAAGCTCCATCTCACATCCTTTGGGCATGTGGCTAGGAGGGACCAATCCTTGGAGAAGGACAGCATGCTCGGAAAGGTGAAGAGACAGCACAGGAGAGGAAGATTCCAGATGAGATGGATTGATACAGTCACTAAGGCAATAGGGGTAGGTGTGTCAGAGTCAGTGAGACTGGATCAGGACAGGGCAGGCTTCAGAGCTGTTGTACATAGTGTTGCTATGAATTGCAAGTGACTCAGTGGAGCATAACAACAACAACTATGTGGACATACTAACTACTAAACTTGGAACAATTTGCTACCTAGCTCCGTGGCTTGGCTTCTTTCTCTGTAAATGAAGAGTGGGAGCGGGAGGAGCTCATCTTGTGGAGCAAGGTTCCTGAGGCCTTACCACAGCACACTCAGCATCTTAGCCCAGCCAACATGCCTCGACCAACCCCCTCTGGAAGGCATTGTGTTCTTACAGGAGACCATCCGGTGGCCTGGGCCCGGTGACCACTGGGCAACGCCATGATAAGGATGTGGCAAAACTGCTTAATGTTGCTCTACCATCTGATTTATCCAGATGCTGAGGAATCTGGAGTGAGATCCCAAGAGCCAGGGAAAAGAGACAAATGCAGAGGCAATTGTCAATAAGATGCCACTTGCACGTTGATTCTGCCTTAGAACTTCGTAGTTTTGGGCAAGCCTCCCACAGCCTCGATATTTTCATCTATAGAATCAGGGTGATTCCGGCTCTGCCATTCTTACATGGTGGTCATAAGGTCAAGGGAAAAGCATGGGTGGGAAAGTGCTTTGAGAGCATTTTTCACCAGAAAATTAGCACGATAAGAAGTCTCCCTGTTGAGAGAGTATTCACACATCATTCCTGCATAGGTTTGGACCCATCAAAGTGCGCGTGATCCCAGACAACATCTCTAGCGTAGCAGCCTCTTGCACCCACAGAGGATTTAGACCACATTTGCGGGGGGAAGGGGGACTGACACGCTCTAGGCTTCTGAGGGTCCCTCGCCCACGTACCCCAGATCTGTCACATGCCCTCTACAGTGTAAAACAACAACATCTGCAGTGGAAGTCAAATGCGAGGCTCACAGCAGGTGCAGAGGAAGCGTGTGTGGGGCAGGCAGGGCACTCTGCCCCACCCTTCTCTGCCCTCTGTGTCCCAGAGCAGCTGTAGTGTGATTTCCTCCACTTGGGCTGAGATGTCAGAGTGCAGGTTTCTGGTGAGCAGGCTAGAGGTGTCAGATAAGATTTGTCTCTGGCCTGTGCCATCTGCCCTTGCTGTGTGCATCCCAATTCCCTCCAGCTGTGGCACAGCTAGCTCTACAAAGCCTTGAGACATTGAATAGCCCTAGACAAGCATGAATAGAGGAAAAGAGAAATGTGCTTAGTGTGACCGTATACATGTATGATATGTAAGTGAGTGGTGTGTACCTGATGACGTGAATTGTGATGTGTGTGTGTGTGTGTGTGTGTGTGTGTGTGTGATATGCATGATGTAAGACTGAATACGTGTGATGTGCAGTGTGTCAAGTATGACCTGTAAGTGCGTGGTGTATTTTGAATCTTAGGAGATCAGAATTCCCAGACCAGGTCAATAGGACATTGCTCTTGGAACTGGGACAATGGAGGTTGGGGCACAAGGGAAGACTGAGCCTGGTTAAATTGTGAAATGGGGAAAGTTTATTACCCTTGCTCTTTTTTATCCCCTTCAAAATGTGTTTACCTCTTTCTGACTATCAGTGCTATTGGAGCGTGTTGGTGTTGCTAATCCCAGGGAACGTCTAGTAATTGATGGACGTGCACTAAGAGGTCCAACGTCTTTCCCAGAGGGATTTGTCTAAGTCAGTGTTTGACCAGTAGGGATGAACCTGATAGAAAGAAATCCTTCCCAGATGGAATAAGCATACTTCTCAGGCTCTTGTGAGGATAGCATGAGGAAAGCAGTCCCAGGTACACAGCCTACTGCCTGGGTATACTAATAGTGCAGGGGGAAGAAGCCACCACCCATGTGGTGGAGGTTATCACTATGGGTCCTTTTTGGTTATTGTACTATCTTCATGTTATATCTGTAATACTGAAGTAACAGTTGAAATAAGATTCTGCAGAATATTATCTAAAAACGGCTAGAATAGCATATCAACAGAGAACTGCCAAATGTGCAGACTGCATTTAGAAGAAGTCGTGGTACTAAGGATATTATAGCTAATGTTAGATGGATCTTGGCTGAAAACAGAGAGTACCAGAGGAATGTCTTTCTGTTTCATTGACTGTACAAAGGAATTTGACTGTGTGGACCACAACAAACCGTGGCTGACTCTGAGAAGAATGGGAATCCCAGAACACTTGATTGTGCTTATGTGAAACCTCTACTTGGATCAGGAGGCAGTTGTCAGAACAGAGAAAGGAAACACTGCTTGGTTTAAAATTTGGAAAGGTGTACACCAGAGATGTATACTATCTCCATACCTTTACAATCTATATACAGAACAGGTCACCTGGAAGACTGGACTGTATGAGGAGGAATGTGGCATCAGTATTGGAGGAAGGCTCATCAACAACCTGCATTATGCTGATGACACAACTCTGCTTGCTGAAATTGAGGAGGACCTGAAGCACTTGTCACAGAAGGTCAAGAACTCCAGCCTTCAATATAAATTGAAGCTTAACATCAGGAAAACAAAGATTCTCACTACTTGGCAGCATTGTGAAGAGACTGAGATTGTTAACAGCTTTAGTTTTCTTGGCTCCACAATCAACACTGTTGGCATCAGCAGTGAGGAAACCAAAAGATGAATTGCACTGGGAAAGGCAGCAGTCAATGACCTCTCCAGAGTACTGAAGAGCAATGGTGTCAGTCTGAAGACTAAGGTGCACCTCATTTAGGTCGTAGTCTTTGCAATTTCTTGCTATGTGTCAGAGAGCTGGACAATGACTAGAGATGATAGAAGGAGAATTGATGCCTTTGAGCTGTGGTGCTGGAGAAGAGTTTTGACTATACCATGGACTGCCAGGAGAACAAGCAGGTTCGTCCTAAAGAGGGTGAAACAAGGCTGTTCCTTGGAGGCAAGGATTCTGAGGCTTAGTCTGACATGCTTTGGGTATGTTGCAAGGAGGGACCAGTCCTTAGAGACAGACATCATGCTTGGAAGGGTGCAGGGACAGAGAAAGAGAGAAAGACTATTAATGAGATGCATTGATTCAGTGACTGGGATAATGAGGGCAGATGTATCAGAGACAGTAAAGTTGGCACAGGACAGAGCAGGTTTCAGGGATTTTGTACATAGGGTCACTATGAGTCAAAAGCATCTCAATGGCACCTGACAACAATAAGAAGTTGCAATACTTAGAGATGTTTGAGGCAAAATCTTGAACAATACAGGAAGCATAAAAAGAAGATGGAAGGAATACACAGAATGACTGTACCGAAGAGAACTGGCCGACATGGAATTATTTCAAGGCGTACCATATGATCAAAAGCCAGTGGTGATAAAGGAAGAAGTTAAAGATGTACTGAAGGTATTGGTAAAAACAAAAACAAAAACAAAACAACAAACAACAAAAACCCAACACCCCAGCAATCAGTGG